AGGTGAAAGTGGTGCTGGTGGAGGTGGGGGTGGTTTGATACAAAAAATGGACTCTTTTTTTGTGTTGCCCTCTTCTTCTTCTGATGAGGAGGAGACTTTCAGATCAAGCTCAGAAGATTTCTTGATGTTGCTAAAGCTTTTCTGTTGGTTACAAAAAATGTTTGAAGTAAAGATGAGATGAGATCTATTATAATGGAGCAAGGAACAAGTTGATGCAGAAATCAATGAAATGAAATGAAGATCAGCTTACTTTGCTTTTTAACTGTAGTACAATAGTCTCCCCTTCTTTCAAACTATAATCAACCAAGGATGTTTTCTGGAACTGTTGTTCCATCTCTTCTGCACTCTTCTTTTTATTGAGATACCTTTTTCAAAAAAAAAAATATATATATATATATATGTAGAAAGCGCATTCTTCCCAATAAAATTCTATTTTTTGGATGAACAAGTACATGTAAATAGAATATTTGTAGAGTAGGAGGACATTTACTTCATATGATCATGCAAAGCTGCTTGGAAGTCATATGCCTCAGTTCTTTCTCGAAATCCTATGCCAATAAAGGCATGCCGACGGCGACCATCTACATAGTATTCATTCATAATTATTAACTGTTCAACTCAAATTGTTTCTATTCTACAGCCTCTAAGTGTCAGTTGGTCGCATGTTTCACCAATAAATATCACATCATAATGAGATATATTAGAAGTCAAATCAGTGTGTAAAAAGGTAGGCGAGAGCCCCCAAAGCTCACCGATATTTTCTTCTATGCGAAGAACAAAATATCTGCAATAATAGAACATCACATCAGACATTTTCAAATGAAGTGTTAAAACAAGGTAAAGATGTTAAAATATATTCATCTGAGCCGAACTTACTTAGACACCGAATGTTAACTACTTGGACAAGGAAGATCAACCAAACTTACAATTAGACACAAAAGTTTAGGCCAACAAAGAATACTGGTAAGATTGAGTTAGAGTTCAATTAAAAATGAAATCAACCTGCTGCTATCAATTACAGGTTCAACTGGATGCGGTTCTCCATCTCTCAAGAATGCCCGAGCATATAATTCACCTATTATAATGATAAACAGCTAATTAGCCAGCAACACACCATATATACCTCATCTGCAATAATATACTTCACCTACCATTTAAACACCACAGATCCACAATACTTCTTTTGTAGCAAGTAAGAGATAATCTCACCTGTGCTCTTATCTTCAAGTCTAATAATGCATTCTTCTCCCTTGCTAAGGACTTTCAGTTTTCCCTCCCAGGCCCATTTATTCACATCCCATTCATCAGCCCTTAAGGTAATCAAAGCACATGTGGAAAACTAAGTTGGCAGAGTATATATAGTGGATTTTCAAAACTAAGTCGTAAATGGCAAGCATAGATAGTGAATTTTTACAACAATAAACATCTAATATAGTGTTTACTCATTAACCATCATACAAGGATACATTATCTATTCTTCACAGCTAGGCATAAATCTGTACAGACAAATATTTATTTTTTAGTCATTAAATATTACAGGCAAGATCATAATGACTGAGAGCGAGAATAGTTTAGTGATTCTTGGGTGCTGATAGCTCTTAAAGTGTGGTCCTTTGTGTTCCCATTATTCAATGTCTGTTGGTTGCTAACAGGCCCTACAAAACATAATATTGAACAGCTACTGCGTGGGCAGAGCTTTGAAGAAAAGGCCAAGACTTTGTGGGCCAGTTCGATAAAAGATCTTACATGAGAATATTGAAAGGAACATCAGACTCTTCAAAGATATGCATGTCTTGGGGGGAGATTTTAGATCTATTCAAGCTAAGTCTCAGGCATCTAGCTGATATGTACTATCAAATTCTTTCTTGTAGTTACACTTTTCGTAATACTAAACTAAATTGGAATTATAAGTAAACAATGAAATCATCAATTTGATCTAGGGGACATAATATCAGTCGACAATAAAGTTTCTGTACGATATCAAGATCATATTACAATTCACAACTATATGCATTATCCATCAAAGTTACAGTTAAAACCTGTAGGAAGCTGCACTTTTTCTTGGGGGTATCTGCAAAAAGATCATAAAAATGAGATTAAGAACAAGATGAAGAAAAATCAATTGAATTGAAGAGATAAAATATCCAGAAAAGGCTAATATTATCATACACAGGAAACTATCTTGCAGTTTTACTACACGGCAGTGAAGAACCAGCAGATACAGAACACTAATTTTCTATCGTTATTCAGATAAGCATAATCCCACTATGAGGGAAAATGTGGATAGATATCAAATAGTGACAACCTACATCTCCATTACTAATATATTTCAATTTCATGATTTTACAGAAGTAGGCATAGTACGTAAGCACAAGAAGAACCCTTCACAAGGGGAAGCTATTGATAAGACAAATGCACAAAATAGGCCAAACACGATATCAGCGATTTCGAAGAGGATATAATCAACTATGGTGCTAACAACTACTTCACATTCGAGTAATCGCAAAAGAAGGCCACAAGAAAGCTTAGATTTCTGCATCAGAACTAAAAACTTAGATTTCTATGAGATAGGGAGGGCTAATTTACTCACCAAATAGACATAACATTCAGAAACTTGAAAAAGAACAAGCTCAATTGCGTCATTCTCTTCATGATCCTCCTTGAGTTCTTGATCTTTCGCCGTCTTCTGCTGCTCCTCCATTGAGAAAAAAGAACGCGATTCGAGAGATCGTGAGATCAAAATCGAGATCAGAGAAATACGATAAGGAATTCCTTGATACTAAATCCGGGATTGATGAAATCGAAATGTATGAAGAAATTTCATATGAGCTGAGTGGATTGGATGCGAAAAATGGTGGCCTGGAGAAACAACTCGCTTTCAGTCCGCTTCCCTGCTTCAATGAAGGTTGAAGAATCGGACACGGACGAAGCAACCCATAATCCTGTGCGTTCGGTACCACTTGCAGCCGTATTGTTCAACAACATAGACCGTTCGATTACACGGAATCGGGGTAGTCAAACCATCCCCTAGGGCTTGGATTGGGATTAGAAAGTCGGATAAATGAACGGCCCTGATTGAAGAGGAATTTCTTTTAGAATATAAAAATATTCGAATATTTTAATTGTAGTTTGGATAATTCATATGTAGATTTCTGCACAAGAAATGGTTGTTGGTTGGAACACCAAACTAAAAGGACTTGGAATTGTTTGGAAGATACTCAATCTAAAATATTATAAATATTTAATCCAAACAAAAATATATAAGATTATAGTAAAAATAAATAAATTCATATTTTCCGTGGAACATCATACGTTGACCTAGTGATCGTAAACACCTCCAGAATGAGTTTAATTCATGATGGTCACCTTTCTATGTTTTAATGTCTCTCGTGTTTCCATATCAACCAAGTATAGTACAGTTAGGTAGATGTCTAGTAAAACTACCGAACGCTTTGCCTTTTCTTATCCTTTGCCTTTTCACGTGGAGCTGTTTGTTCCAACAGCTACCACACGTAAGATTCTAATCATCTTCCTCTCAGTGTTTCCCTTCCTTGGTTGTCCTGTTTTGTTGAATATGTTGTCCTTATGTCTAGCGATAAGATTCAAACCGCCCATATTCAGTGGTTCACGTGCCACCACAATGGCATGACATCGAAAGAGTGATCGAAACTTATCTTTAATAGCCTGGGTAGGCACAACGTAACGTCAAAAGTGGAATGATTGTTATTATAACATGTCTTGAGTCCTGGGTTCGTGAGTCTCAAAACTATCTCAAAAACTCGACTAATCTCATTATATGATAATTCAATGGGCTAAGATATTATAGGATCGCCTAAAAGGTTAGAGGTTTGAATTTTCACCCGACTAGTCTCATTTAACAACACAACGACTATTTAATGGTTGTTTACACTTTATAAAGTACGTAAAGTCACTTCAACAGTCATTCAAAACTATCTCAAAAATCTCAAATTTTATGTTTCTTTTTTCTATAGTTCAACGTCAGACAGTATTCGATTATCGCCATAGATTTGGAAGTTCTTGAGACATATACGATCAGATGACCCAAACCGATATCTGAAGATAAGCAAAAAGATGAAAAGGACAAGAAACAAGAGAAAAGAGAATAATGGAAAGAATGGTATGAACAAGGTAGTGAACTACTTCACTGTAAAGTCTGCACAACCCTATCATTATGCACCTCAACTTTGTCCCACCATCACATTATTATCTGCCAATCCTTCATACCTAGTACACAAATAAATTTATCGACAAGTTTCAGCCACTTCTCGATGCATTTTCGAACGTGAAAGAACACGAAAGATCAGAATATTCGAATGTATATTCATACATTGTCTGTCACTATGATCCCATTTCCAATCCTTGAAAGGAAAGGGTGTAACAGCTTAATCTCACCGCTAGCAGATATTATCCGCTTTGGCCCTACGTATCGTCGTCTGCTTCATGGTTTTAAAACACATATGTAAAGGATAAATTTTCATACCCTTAATAAGGAAGGCTTCGTTCCCCTCTCCAATCAACATGGGATCTCACAATTCACCCCCTTAGAGGCCTAGCGTCCTCGCTGGCACACTATCTGATGTCTGGTTGTGATACCACTTGTAACAGTCCACGCCTACCACTAGTAGATATTGTCTGTTTTGGCCAGTTATGTATTTCATCAACCTCACAGTTTTAAAACACGTTTGCTAGGAAGAGGTTTTCACACCCTTATAAAGAATGCTTCGTTCCTCTCTCCAACCAATGGGGGTCAGCATCCTCGCTGACACACCCACGGTGTCTAGCTTTGATACCATTCATAACAGCCCAAGCCCACCGTTAACAGATATTGTCCGCTTTGACCTTACATATCGCCATCAATCTCCCGGTTTTAAAACACGTATGTAAGGGAGAGATTTTCACACCCTTATAAGAAAGGCTTCGTTTTCCTCTTCCATCAACATGGGATCTCATCTCAAGAAGCTAAAGAAGAAAGGAAACAAAAATCTTTAAAACAAAATGTTGATCATTGTTACTATCAGTTCTTTACATTATATCACAGAGAAAAAAGATACAATTTGAATTCAGAAGATACAGATTTGTAGCATAATCTATGAAATCACTCCTAGCATATCGGTGTTTATGATATGTTCTTGTACTATTCTAGCACAAAGATTATGAATATCATTTCATCTCTAGCTCACTTATTCCCCCACATGACTATTTCTCGAGTTTTATAAACACATAAAACAATCATAAGCTCACCAGAAATCACCGATGGACGACGAGCTCGACGAATGGAACATGGAAATTCGCCGTCTCTTATTCGGAAACGTCATGAACGAGAACTCTTGCGGATCAGAGAACTTGTTTAGAACAGATTTGATGGCTTGGTGCACCGAGGTTTCGAGGAACCGACGAAATTCAGTAGTTTCGATGTCGCCTCCTTTGCAGCTAGTTAACACGAACACGTTCTTCATCCTTCCATTTAAGGTAGCAATCTCTGCCCTCTTTATGATCAGGTCAAGAGCATGTAGTGCTTGTCTTAAATCAGGCAGGAGGCCAGGCTTGTAATCGCAACATAGCGAGGCTCTGATTGAATATGGTACTCCTTCTAATCCATCCTCCTGCTGTTCAACTGTTATTTCGTCTATTTCTTTTGGTATGATATGAATATCACTTACTTCTGCAGCAGCTCGTTTTAGAACTTTCAAATGGCTAATAACTTCAGCAAGAAGTGTAGCCTTGTCCATCTGGTGATTGAAACATGAAGTTAATGAAACAAAGCTTATAGTTCATAAAGATTCAATCAATATAGATCATGTTAGCCACTACCCAAACAAGTAGGTGCGATGAATGAATGAACAAAAGTCGAAACGGATGTTTTTGTTAGGAATCACGAATCTCTACAATGGTATGATATTGTCCACTTTGAGCATAAGCTCTCGTGGCTTTGCTTTTTGATTCCCCAAAAGACCTCGTACCAATGGAGATAGTATTCCTTACTTATAAACTCGTGATCTTCCTCTTAATTAGTTCTTGTTAGACTGGACTACTCCTCTCAATAATCCTCAACAATCCTCCCTTCGAACAAATTACACTATAGAGTTTTTCTTGAGGCTTCCTTCTCTGGAGCTCTCGAACAACCTCCTCTTAATCGAGGTTCGACTCCTTCTTTAGAGCCATCAAACAAAGTACACTATTTATTCGATACTTCAGTCACCTTTGACTATACTTTTGAGACACACAATTTTTTTGTTCGACAGTTAAGGATTCTATTGAGATAGCTAAGTTAAGGGCACGACTCTGATAGGATGTTAGGAATCACGAATCTTCACAATAGTATGATATTGTCCACTTTGAGCATAAGCTCTCACGGCTTTGTTTTGGGCTTCCCCAAAAGGCCTCATACCAACAAACCAATTATCTTCCTCTTAATTAGCTCAGGTGAGACTAGACTACGACTACTACTCTCAATGATCCCCCGTTTTCCCAAATTAGAATGAAGTTCACCATTTAGAGTAAACCCCAGACAGAAATGACCCAACAAGCATCCAAATCAGGACATTCAAGACATTCAAGACATCCTTACCTTAAACAGTGTCTGGGACAAACCTCTTTAGCTATATATGTTCCAAATTCAAGACGAATACAAAACAGAAACAGAGGTGAATCGCAATGGGAAGTAAATAAAAATGGGTATAAAACGAAGAACCTCACCTTCTTGCCACCGGGAACGAGAGTTCTAAGACTCCCAAGATGGGCATTGATTCTGGCTCTACGTCTTCTCTCAGCGTCGCTGTGATTCTTCAGGGCGGCGGCGCTTCTCTCAGCCGAAACCCCTTTAGTGTCAAGGTTGAATGGAGCCTGGACGAGCTCGTCTCTGTCAGAATCGAGCACCAATGAAGAAGTTGAGGCGGACCCATTTCTGAAAGCCGCACAAAACCCATCGTAGGAGTGAATCCGCGAGAAGTGTCCCATGAGGGGAAATGGTGTGAAGATGGGTGGGTATGGCGGTGAGATAGAGAAGAAGAGGATGAAAGGGGTGTTTGAAGACAATGTCGGGCGTGTTGGCTGGAGAATTGGGTGGCGAACAGAGAGGGAGGGATGTTGAAGGGGGCGTTAATGGCGGGTGAGTCAGCGTGCAATAGTGAAGAAGGGAAGTGGGTGGAGTGGGAAAGAAAGGAAGGGAAGCAAAAAAGTCTTGATCGAGGTCACACTACCAGGTGCGATTTAACAGCGGAATCCATTAATAATGTCTGCAACTAAATCATGAGATCGCCTCAACTTTCAACCATAAATTATTTACCCATACCACAAATTATTTCAACCAAATTTTTAGATTATTTATAAATATTTTGATGTTATTTTAAAAGGTGGTACCATAATAAAGATTCCATTTTTGTCACCTTATTTGTAATAGGTATATTCATTTTATAAATAAAAAATAGCAATTTCAACTTATCTCTTACATCTAAAAGAAATTTTAAAATTACATATACAAACAAAACAAGATAATTAATTAAGTATGGATAATTTAAAGTTAGAAAAGTGGTGACTTTATAATAAATAAATAAATAAAAGAAAATTATCATAAAGATTTTAGAGTCCAATTTGAAATTCAATTGGTGGCGTGGCTTAATCAAACCCCATTAATTTAGTTACTCAAAGCTTAGCGAGTCGCCCAATAAAGTAATGACTTTAATTATTATTCTTATTATTATTTTATTTTTTAATATTGCTCTCCACTTTTGAGAAAAAAAGATTAGCTACCAAATATTCCCACTCCATTAGTTTTTTTCTTAAAAAAAAAAAATGCATTTTAACCCAACTCAATTAAGTTGTTTTTGTGAGATCTCACGAGGGGATTCAAATGTTCATTCTAAAAATATGAAAACCTCTCTCTAGTAAAGGCGTTCTAAAATCATAAAGACTGACGATAATACATAATGGACCAAAGTGTACAACTTTTGTTAGTGGTAGGCTTGAGTTGTTACAAGATGGTATCAGAGTCAGTTAACGGGTCGTTGGCCCCTTAGAGAGGTGAATTATGAGATCCCACATTGGGATGTTGGGCTCTTAAGAAGGGTGGAGGGAGGTTGGCCCCCCTCAAAGAAGATGGATTAACATGGAGTTCTCAATAGGGGTGAATTATGAGATTCAAAATTAGTCAGAGAATAGAACCAAATATAAAGGTGTGAAAATCTAAAACTCAATGGAATGGAGCACATATACTTAAATTAAAAAATAAAAATAAAAAATAGGGACAAATAAAAAAGTTTTGAAATTAGGGTTTAGAAGTTTTTGATAGCATGCTAAGGTTTCGATCCAATTTCTTCATCCCACACTGATGCTTCCAGCACTGACACGGACCTTTCTTCTTCAAACCCGCCATTTCCCCGCCGTCCTTCCCAACCTCCGCTTCATTTCTGCTTATCGCCGAAACCGACCGCGCAAGCTCCGCCGCCGTTGCCGCCGTATTATGCCCGTCGCTCTCCTCCATATCGCCGCCATTCTTCTTTTCCCTACTCTTCCACAACCGTCTCATTCTTTCCCTAACCTCACAAACCAATTCCTCATGCCGCCCCTCACAAAACCCACACCGGAGAAACCGCTTTCCGCCGGAAGTACGGATGACCATAACTTGTTCGAAACCAAATGCAAGTCGCAACGCCTCGTTCAGAGAATCCGGTTTCTGTGGAATCATCCATTCCTTAAACTCTTCCCTCAATCCATCCATGAAAATCGCTTTCAAAAACCCATCGGAAAGTTCGTTTCCCGGCGGCCATTTCTTCAAGATCAACTGCAGCCTCAGAAAATACGAACGAACATTCTCCTCCGGCCGTTGACTGATCGTCATAAGCTCCGATCGCAACTGCTCAGCCAATTCGATTTTGTTATACGCGTCCAAGAACGAAGACTTCAATTCTTCCCAAGAAATTGGAGGGTACGGTTCAATGTTCAAGTCGTACCAAAGCAGAGCCTCGCCCTGTAACGTTACCGGAAAGATTCTCATCATAATCTCGACGGAGGCCGCGTTGTTCGCACGGCAAACTTTGGTGAATCTGCTTAAATGCGTAGCCGGACACTCATCGGAGCCGCCGTGAAAAACAGGCAACGGTGCAATGTTAATGTATGGAAATACTGTTGCGGCGGCGTTTGGACTCTGTAAATTCGTTGGACTATTCGTGGCGGATTCTTCATTGATTTCTAGGGATTTTGATTTGTGGCCGCTGGTTTGGAAGTTATTAGATTCAGAAGCGTCGTAGTCGTCTTCGTTTGATGCGTTGAGAGATTGAGATGGGGAAGCATCATAATCGGTGGCGTAGTTACGCCGCCGCAACGGCGGCGGTGAACGCCTGAGTTTTCGCGCCATCCAGAAATGGAATTAAGGAAAGAAATGAGAAGAAGACGACGGCTCCGTTCAGAATTTGAACGGTGAAGCAATACAAAGGAGATGAAACTTGTCTGGTCGAGGAAATCGGCAATCGGCGCTTGTTACCAGGCATGAACGGACGTTCGTGTCTGTTGGCCTTTATGGGCTTCTGTTTTGTTGGGCCCAAGTCGACATGTTGACATTTAGCAAGACAATTGTCGTTTGGCGCTTAGAATTCATGTCCGCCTATCCTTGAACGTTTCCAGTTGGATTTTACTGTAACGGTCCAAGTACCACGGTAGTAGATATTATCCTCTTTGAGTTTTTCTCTTTCGAGCTTCGAGACGCGTCAGTTATTTCACATATTTATAAAGAATGTTTCGTCCTCTCCAACCGATGTGGGATCTCAAAATTCACCAATCTTCGAGACGCTGGCACTTGTTCCCCTCCACAATTGATTTGGGACCTCCCAATGGATCGTGAGATCCCACATCTGTTAGGGAGGAGAACGAAACATTTTTTATAAGAGTGTGAAAACATCTCTCTATCATACGGATTTTAAAAACCTTGAGGGAAAACTAGAAAGGGAAAGCTCAACAAGGACAATATCTACTAGCGATGAGTTTAGGCTATTACAGTGGCATACTCGTATGTCTCTGTGTAACTCCTTGACATCAACACCCAATCAAGATGATACCGATGGTCTTCTATCATATCATCCACGACCTTAAGTTGAATCCCGCACATACCACTTAATGAGCTTATTAAAGCGATCATCCTCAAAGTCTTCTTCGGCATCCCATGTGATTGCATCCACAACATAATGCTCATCAAATTTGATCCCCTTCCCTTTGAAAACCAAGTCTACGTTAACTAGCTGCCCCAACATCATAAGTCAGAGTGGCTGTAAGCCTCTTCTAGGTCACTTTGTTCAAATTCCTAATACGTGATAGACTTGTAATAACTTGTTTTTAGAGATTCGGTCACTTTATTGATCTTGAGCACATGTGTTCAATTGAAATGAAACCAACCCACAAAAAAGAAAAGAAGAAAAAAAAAAAATCTCAGATATTTTCCCCCATTTTTTCGATTTTCATTTTTATTTTTTAAATTGTTTCGATAAGCCAAAGCGGAGTGAAGCAGATTCTGAAGCTCCATATTCAATCCAATCCTCATCTCTAATTCCAATGGCTATACTAAACTACATCTCAGCTACCTCGACTCCCATCTCCCAGGATTCTTCAATTCCACCTCCATTGCCAGACCCAAGGCAAACCAAGGTCATTCTCCCCAAAAAGAAGCCGGAAAAATGGTCCACCGGAGTTTCTCCCGGCGACTACGGCGGCCCCCCTACCACAACCAAGCTCCGTAAGTACTGGGGTGGTGAAAAAGACGACCCCTTAACCTCCGATGATTATATCTGGAACAGAGAATTCATGGGTCGGATGAAAAAGTTAATGAAGGACCAACCTGATGATTCATCTGTTCGCGTCAATAAAGCTAAGGTTTCCTTTAGTTTTCCTGTTTCTGTTCTATATTAACTTATCAATACCATTAGTGTTCTTGTTCTCCTTTAGATATTGTTGGGTTTCTAAGAAAATTTACATTTCTGTAACATTTATGCGTATTCCTGCTTAATTCATCATGGATTATCATCAATGTTCATGCAAGTGTTGAACTAAGTGTTACCCATTAGCAATATGAAGTATTCTGCTTCAATTCTTCCTGTTTGAGAATCAAATTCTTGCTAGATTGTCCGGTTATCTTGGAAATTATACAGAATGTTGTTTATGGTTCCATCTGTGATATGTTGGTCTATGATAATGTGATGGCTGATGAAATGATCTTATTGTATTAGGATGAGCCTTCTGGATTTCTTAGCTTGAATAGAGTCATGACCCTTGATAGGTTGGTTCTCACTTCTTACTTGTATGTTAACTGCGATCACGTTTTTTTTTTTTTTTAATCATGTTTCGACTTTTGGATTATGCGATTACAGTTTGGAAGTCGATTTGAGCAAAGAACTAATGGCTCCTCCGATGCCTCTGAAGGAAAACGTTGTCGAGGAAAAGATTCAGGTATGATTCTTTGACAATTATGTATCCCCTTCCAACTCCAAGTATACTTTGTGAGATCCCACTTCGGTTGGAGAGGAGAACGAAACTTTCCTTATAAGGGTGTTGAAATCTCTCCTTAGTAGACGTGTTTTATAACCGTGAGGCTAACGGCGATACATAACGGGTCAAAGCGGACAATATCTACTAGCAGTGGGCTTGGGCCGTTACAAATGGTATCAGAGCTAGACACTGAGTGGTGTGCCAGTGAGGATGTTGGCCCCTGAGGGGGTGGATTGTGAGATCCCACATTGGTTGAAGAGAGGAACGAAACATTCCTTATAAGGGTGTGGAAACCTCTCCCTAGCAATCACGTTTTAAAATTGTGAGTCTAATGGCGATATGTAACAGGGCAAAGTGGACAATGTCTACTAGTGGTGGGTTTGGGCTGTTATAAATAGTATTAGAGCCAGACACCGGGGGGTGTGTTAGTGAGGACGCTAGCCCCTAAGGGGGTGGATTGTGAGATTCCACATCAGTTGGAGAGGGGAATGAAACATTTCTTATAAGGGTGTGGAAACCTCTCCCTAGTAGATGCGTTATAAAACCACGAGACTGAGAGCGATATGTAATGAGCCAAAGTGGACAATATCTACTAGTGGTGGACTTGGATTGTTACATACTTAGTCTCATAATATCTTTAGTTTGTTACTCTCCCTTTTACTAAAATTGCAATGAAACGAGGGATCAGGTCGATAACCGCAAGTCACCCAGATGGAGATTGGCACCAACAAGGCGTGAGCAAGAGAAGTGGGATAGGGCATATAAGGCAGCTACTGGAGGCAGTGTAAGCCTTTTGACCCTCATGGCTTATGGTTAAAGTCTCATCTCAAAACCACCCTTTCATATAGTGCTTCGAAATTGAAATAGTGTTCGTTTTATGGTTTGATTTGAATTTCTTTGGAGCTTTAGGAGACTATTGAGGACTTCTAATATTTAGAATGACATATTTCTGCAAGTGATTACCCTGTTTCAAAGATCATTGTAATACTGAATTGTAGGACGTGATGTTTCGAGAATTGAGAAGGCCTCAAGGGGATCCCGAAGTATTGGCCGCCTTATCGAGGGAACAGTATTTTAAGGTTCTTTGTTGTAAAATGGCTCTGTGGTATTTCTATTAATAGTTACACTCCTATGTCTCATACATTGATTATCGTCTTGTTCCTTTTTGTTCTCTTTTGTCTTCTCAGTTAAAGAAGAAGCTGCAAACCTTAACCCTGGCAATAGGAGGTGTTGGTTTGGTCTCAGCTTATGTTTCTTATTCCCCGGAAGTTGCTGCTAGGTTCGTTTGACGTTAATTACCTCATATTTTTAATATCAATGCAGCGCTGCAGCTTACTGATATTGTGAGATCCCACATCGGTTGGGGAGGAGAACGAAACATTCTTTATAAGGGTGTGGAAACCTATCCCTGGTAGACGCGTTTTAAAAACTTTGCCCAAAGAGGACAATATCTACTAGCGATGGCTTGGGCTGTTACAAATGGTATCAGAGCTAGACATAGGGTGATGTACCAACGAGGAGGCTGAGCCCCAAAGGAGGGTGGATACGAGGCGGTGTGCCAGCAAGGATGCTGGGCCCCGAAGGGGGGTGGATTTGGGAGTCCCACATTGATTGGAGAAGGGAACGAGTGTCAACGAGAACTCTGGGCCCCGAAGGGGGGTGGATTGTGAGATCCCACATTGGTTGGAGAGGAGAACGAAACATTCTTTATAAGGGTGTGGAAATCTCTCTCTAGCAGACACGTTTTAAAAATCTTGAGGGGAAGTCTAAAAGAAAAAGGCTAAAAGAGGACAATATCTGCTAGCGGTGGGCTTGGGCTGTTACAGATATTTAACAAATATTTAACAAACCCAAGGAGGAGCCATGGGTGCACTAATCAAGTTCAATAGTCATATTTACAAAGGAAGAAATTATGAGAACTTCCACTTTTCTTAAGAACTGAGACCCATTTACTAAGATTGGTTTGGAGGAGAAGAAAAAATAAATAGCATTTATAATGAAATCAATGGGGATGAAACTAAGACTCTGTAATACTTTTGTTCGTATTCGTACATTAATCGACATTTCTTTCCCAATTTCAGCTTTGGTGCTGGGCTAATTGGTTCTCTTGTGTATGTACGAATGCTCGGGAGTAGCGTAGATTCTCTGGCAGATGGAGCAAGAGGACTTGTCAAGTACGTATTACTCGACTTTTTTTTGTTACATTTGAGTGTTGATGTATAAGCAATGATGAACTACTGTGTTGTTCGTTCTTATGTTTCGTTGCAGGGGAGCCGTTGCACAACCACGGTTACTAGTTCCAGTTATACTAGTGATGGTATATAACCGTTGGAACGGGTAAGTACGCTCCCTACCTTGAATTCTGCCGTTCTTTTTCCCATCTGCCACCACAAAACCTTATTTTCACACCCGTTACTCGAACATTCATTTCATTTCTCGTCATCTAGCGTTATTTTGAAACCGAAAAAGCTTTTAGCAAACAAAAACATACATACCATTAGATGAATCTTGTAGGTCCCATTTACTGGCTGTGCTCATATTCTGGACTGACTGACGCCATAGATTTTGAATTTAGAATATGAATTCAACAAAGTATTTTAGCCTGCCCCTTTTTGTTCTGTAGTATTCTTGTTGAAGATTATGGAGTTATGCAATTACAGTTGATACCAATGCTAGTTGGGTTCTTCACATACAAGGTAGCTACCTTTGTTCAAGCTTTAGAGGAGGCGCTTACGGTCACTAAGAACGAACCGCAAGCCTAGGATATACTTGTATATTTTCCCATGGTATACATATATATTTGTAAGGTATTCTTTGACCATATTGATCATTGTTCTTGTTGCCCAAACACCAACTTTTCTCTTAGTTAGCTCAGCTGATAAAAAGACAAAGGTAGCAAAGACATGAATGTTTGGTGATGAGCCAACAGCTGAAAGTACCAACTTATGTCATTTTCTGATCAACCTGTGTGGTTTTGAGCTGTCACAATGCCTGCCTAACTTGACATATAATGTTCCAACAACAACACTGAAATGGGCTAAGGGTAAAACTGAAAGAGAGGAAGAAAAAGGGAAAAAGTGAGTGAGCTATGGTGGCTGTGGCCCCAGTTCTTGAATGAAATGGCATAATAAGATTCCAATTTTGATCTTAATGATCAAAACAGACAAATAGTATGGTTTTGGTTCAATCAAACCAGGCTATGAATGGTTTGGTATGTTAGGAATCACGACTTTTCACAATGGTATGATATTCTTTGCTTTTGGTTTCTCCAAAAGGTCTCATACCAATGGAGATGTATTCCTTACTTATAAACCTATGATTAACCCCTTAATTAGCGGATACGAGACTCCCCTCTCAACAATCCTCCCCTCGAACAAAGTATACCATAGAGCCTCCCTTGAGATTTATGAAGCCCTCAAACAACCTCCTCTTAATCGAGGTTCGACTCCTTCTCTGGAGCTCTTGAACAAAGTAGGCTCACAGTTTTTTTGTTCTACATTTGAGGATTCTATTGATATGGCTAAGTTAAAGACATGACTCTGATACTATGTTAGGAATCACGGCTCTCCACAATAGTATGATATTGTTTACTTTGAGCATAAGCTCTCATCGTGGCTTTGCTTTTGATTTCCCCAAAAGACCTCATACCAATGGAGATATATTCTTTACTTATTTATCCGATGTGAGACTCCTCTCCCAATAATCCTCAACACAATATTCATTAGAAAACGTTTACCTATCAGTATAGCAGAAAACTCGATGAAAAAGGAGGAAAAACTTGAGGATAGAAAGTAAAATGAATGTGGGTATGGTCCAAGGTTACCCCTCACTTTCAAGAAAAGGGAGGGAGGGGGAAAAAGAAAAGAAAAGAGAATAGATCTGTGGGGTAGGGTGCCCTACAGCAACTTAGCAGCTTGGTGCCAAAGAGAAGCAGAAAATATTCTCAAAGAGCACCAAAACCAATCCAGATTTGAATGATTCTATGAACCCAAAAAGAATGGCACTGAGCGAAGGAAAAGGACAGCAACAAGGTTGGCTTAGCAGCTCTTCATTAGTCGGTACAAAATGCCAAAACTTGGTTACCCTCCAACTTTGGGACGAACCTTACCCTTCATTACCCTAATTAGAGGACCTGTCCTAATCCATTACTCATTCTTGAACCAATTCATAAGCAAAAACGAAAACTCTATATCACCTTCTAGCTTTGAACTAGCTTTACTTCAAGAAATTTGTTCTTGATCTCGATTGAAGAGGAAGGACTATCGAACTTCTATATAAGCAATAAGGTGTTATCGTGGCTTTGAACTAGTTTTACTTTGAGAAAGTTTTCGATCAACGAGGAAGGATTATCTGATTGAATCTCGTTGCCCTTATGTTTAACTCTGAAGGACGTGACTACTTTCTACTTTGTTAGTATGGATTTGGATGTGGGGTTTTCCTCTTCTCAACCCAACCTTCCGTTTTCCGTTTAACTCTGATATTTACTAACGTAATTTAAAGAAAATGATTAATTTGATAACACTTCTTGTACCTTTGATGTCATTTCATAATGATTCCTAATGTTGAAACTATAGAGAAAAAATTAAAAGAATTCGTGATACTTTCTTTACGTAAAGTTTTATAACCATATAAAAAAAAGAGAAAAAACTTAGAAATCAAATCATTCATATCATATAGGTTATTGGACATGTTGTTGTCCTCTATTATTTTTCTCTTTCGAATCTAAATAATTTTTGAACTCTCAACCACCTTAAAATGAATTCTCTTTTTCTAATCCATACTCGAATGAAATACGTTAATAGAGATACCAAAATCTGATATGAGTTTCCATTGAAAGAATACTCCAAATCAGTCCAAATTCTTTGAAATCAGAGAATATAGTTGAGATGAAAATGAAAGGAAGGTTAGGGGTATTCATATGACCTGATAACCCGACCTATCCAGACTACCGAACCAAAATCCTAAAGGTTGGGTTGGGTTAGTTTTTCTAAGGTTTGGATTAAGTTGGATTTTTGGGTCCAGTCAACCTGACTAACCCAGGGTTACAACTTAACCCTATTTTTGACATTTGTTATAGACGTTGGTGATATGTTGTGAGAAAATAGAGGGTTGAGCTGGGAACTCTACTCTGAGTTACTCAGGTCACCAACTCAACCAACTCGAGATTTCGGGTTGGTCCAAAAGATTTTTCCAACATAACCCACCGTGTACACCCCTAACAAAGACGACATCTCCAACCTCATCTCCCCTCGGTGTCATCAGATACTCTCTCAATGTTGAAACAGGGATTTTAGAGGGTGGGGGCAATGGAGTTTTAATGAGTGGGAGAACGTAAAATGAGGGGAAAAGAGAAAGGGTTGTAGGAATTGGAATATGATATATAGGCTGTCTGATAAGACAATTGCCCCAAAATTTAAGCACTAAAATGTGAGATTGCAATGAAATAAGGTAAAAGAGGAAGGAAGAAGAAAACACGTTTGGTTGTCACCTAACCACAAAACACCTCTTTCCTCGTTTCAATCAAACAACATTAATGTTTCATAATTCTGTCCTTTCACCCCTCTTTTAGATTCCCTAAATTTAGTAACTTTTTTATAACTCTTCTTCGTGACATCGGATAGTGTGTCAGTGAGGACGTTAAGCTTCCAAGAGGGTGGATTGTGAGATCTCATATTGGTTGGAGAGAGGAATGAAACATTTCTTTTAAGATGTGGAAGCCTCTCCCTAGCAAACACATTTTAAAATCGTGAGACTATAACGATATGTAACAGACTAAAATGGACCATATGTACGATGTTTTCACATTATATCATTACTTTCAAACATATTCTTTAAAGGGTATTCAAAGATATTTTACCGAGTACTCGAAGAAAGAAAAAAAAAACTTTATAAGTTTAACATAATGTGTAGATATCCAAATTGGACTCACTACTTGAGTCGTTTGAGTCACTTGTTATATCATCGTACTATGTTTATTCTCGTTTGTAAAAAATAAGAGTCATTCAAAGAGCACACGATGATGTATTTCATGAGCAGATAATCCATATCAAAATAGCTCGATGAATTTGCATATCAAATAGTTGAATTCCATATAAACAATCACTTAACCTAATCGATTGATCTCAATTATTGATACTTTACCTCGTTCACCATTGATGTATCACGTTTATCATAGTCACAGATATCAATTGCTAATAGACTCTTTTTACGTCTATTAATAATTGAAAATTGATATGATACGTTGATGATAGATCTAATAACAAATGAGCATACAAACAATCACTGAAAAAAAAATAGTAAATTTTATTGATATATCATTTTAATTCCGTTGATTTTTCTATCGTTCGAGCATGCAACCCTAGAGCAAAAATTTCAAAGTGATGAGGCTTCCAACTCTCGAGTGACTTCTGACACTTGCTCGGACTAAACCTAAAACAACGTTAGTCAAAAACTTTTTGGTCGACATTTTAATAGGTCTTTTTCCCCCAAATTTGAGACCTTTATGAAGGTAATAAGGTAAATTTTGAAATATGGTTAGAAGGATAAAAATGGAAAAATAAATAAAATGTGGGTTATAGCTTATTTTTATTTATGGAAAATTAAATAAGAGGAAATTAAATGATTATAGCCTAATTAATCAAGCTCTAATTTTATTTTAATTAATTAATGGGGTCCATCCTTAATCATGCATTCTTGACCACCTAGAGAAATGAAATCATAAAAATCCTTTAATTTTTCATTATAAATTTGTTAATTAATTAATTATTAATTAATTATGAAGTTTAAAATTTAAATTTTATTATTGTTTTTGCTCATTTATCTTATAAACACTTAACTCTTCCAAAAACAAGAAATTTTCAATTCAATTTCAGCAATGGAAGAAAATAGAAAGAAAAATAAGAGAAAATTTACTTCTTTAAACTATGATGTATATATGTTTATAACCTTAATTTACACAAAAACTTCCAATATTCGATGCGAATGCCACCTTCGTGTTTTTTTCTATTCAAATGAAAGTGATAGTGGCGTGGATTCTCGATATTAGTAACTTGTATACTATTTTGACGTATGTGAGAGTGAAGTACCGAACCTTCGACCGTTTTTATTTCATTTCAGCAATTGTAGAGTAGAAGATTGAATCATCCACCTTTAAGATGGTAAATTTGTGTTTATCTACTTATGTCCTATGACAACATGCAACCTTATAGAAGATAAAAAATATTTTATGGAGGTGTTCATATGACCCGAGTACTCTAGTAACTCGAACTACTCAATCCAAACCATAAGGGTTGGGTTGGGTTAGAATTTTTTTCGGTTTGGAATGTGTTGAATTTTTTAAAAATCGAAAATTCATATTGGTTTGTGGGTTGGAACTTTTTTTTGTCGGGTCAGTCCTACAAACTCAAAAATAGGGTTACAATTTAACTTTACCCTACTTATTATGAAGATTAAAAATATTGTACCTTTCTAACTGATGTTTGTGATGAGTTGTGACTTATGAAGGTTTGATATTTGAGTTTTATAAGATTTTAGTTATTAATGTAGCATGTCCCGTAGATAAGTATGATTTTTTTTCAATAACTAAAAAACCCGACAACCCAACTCGAAAATAGAGAGTTATGTTGAGTTGGACTGTGAATTTTATTCTGGTTGCTCAGATCACCAACTCCAACCGACCTAAAATTTAGGTTGGTGATTTCTTCAATCCAACCCAACCCAACTCAGGTTGTGTACACCCCTTTATCTTATTCGTTAAACTATGCTTGAACAAAATATGTACAGGAAAGTTCGAGCTTTCATGGATGGAATGAATCGAACGGCTAAGAATTGTTGTGTAGATGAAGGGCTAAGATTGAAGGATGTAGATAGTTGAACCAAGAGGGATATCTTGAGAGTGGGACCAGGTAAGATTCGTTGGCCATCATCTCCATCACTTTGGACATGCGTGCATTCTCTCCTTTCAAACTATACCTCTTAAAGAATTCAATCCAAAAATCACCTCCAAATCCCACCATTTTTTTCTTTCCTTTTTCTAAATTGAAAAATTATTCCAAAACCCGTCACTCGTAAGCTAACCGCAACTCGGTTCCTTCGATTTTTTACCATCTATTACTACACTTACGTATACAATACTTATGTATGATCAATCAGGACAAACAAGATTTTTCTATTCATTTTCAGAAAAAAACGAGCACTAGGGTAAACGAGAAAATGTAACTAGGGTTTGTACACTATTAACAATCTATTCCCATACCCACGTTGATAAGGACTACTCAAATACAAAATATAGTGTAATAGCTCAAACCCACCATTTATTTTGTTCCATTACGTATTGTCAGCCACACGGTTTTAAAACGTGTCTACTGGGAAGAGGTTTTCACACCCTTAAAAAGAATGTTTCGTTCTTCTTTCCGACCGACGTGGGATCTAACAATCCATCCCCTTGGGGCACCTAGTATCCTTGTTGGCACACTACTCAATGTCTGGATCCGATACCATTTGTAACAAATACAAACCCACCACTGGTAAATATTGTCTATTTTGACCCGTTGCATATTTCCTTCAGCCTCACAGTTCTAAAACGCGTATGTTAAGGAGACTTTTTCACAATCTTATAAGGAATGATTTGTTCTCTTCTCCAACCAATGAACGTGGGATCCTTAATATATATATTTACCAACTGACGTGATTACTTAAGCCACTAATTTGAAACTTAATGCTAATTACCTTAATCAAATTAAAGACAAAATGATAAGGTGTCTATTGACAAAGCCCTCTTGAACAACCATTATAAATTTTAATTTATTTGTATACAAGAGAATAATAATAATAATAATAATAATAATAAAAAAAAAAGATAAGAAAAAAAGAAGAAAAAGATGAAGAGAGAAAGCAAATCATATGGCCCATAACATGTCTTCTCAGTNTTTTTTTTTTTTTTTTTTCATCTTCTTCTTCCAAGGTTCTCCCTTTACTTCTGTTCCTTTGCCCTCTTTCTCTACTTTTGATCATAAGTATTGTGTTTTCGGGTGCTTCGTTTATCAAGCGGAGCTGAGTAAACTAAGAATAGGAACAGGAACAGGAATAGGAGGGGGACGAGAGCATGTCGAGTGAAAGAGGCAAAGAGTATGGAGAAGGATCGTCGAGCTCGCCACCGACAACAACAACAACCCCGAGTCGCTACGAATCACAAAAGCGGCGAGATTGGAACACGTTTGGGCAATACTTGAAGAATCAAAGACCACCAGTGGCACTAGCACAGTGCAACTTCAACCATGTGTTGGAGTTCCTAAGATATTTGGACCAATTTGGGAAGACAAAGGTTCATGTCCAAGGTTGTATGTTCTATGGACAGCCAGAGCCACCAGCGCCATGCACCTGCCCACTCAAGCAAGCATGGGGCAGCCTTGATGCGCTGATAGGGCGGTTGAGAGCTGCTTATGAAGAACATGGTGGCTCCCCTGAGACCAACCCTTTTGCAAGTGCTTCAATAAGGGTTTATCTAAGAGAAGTAAGGGAGTGTCAAGCCAAAGCAAGAGGGATTCCTTATAAAAAGAAGAAGAAAAGCAGCAAGGCAAGCAATACCAATACAAATCATGATGATTCAACTACTAATACTTGTTCTTCTTCTTCTTCTTCTGGGATGATGCACTTTTCAACTCCTTAGCTCTTCCACTTCTAACAAAATCCCATCATCACATCAAAATTATGGTAATTTTCTCTTCTAAACTCATAGATCTTCATTATTCATTCATCTTTTTTGTTTTAAATTTTCATGAATTGATGGGTTGATTGTGATGTTTGATAAAATTTACCATAATTGTCATAAACAAATAACGAATAACTGTGATTTGCTTATAAATTATACTAACAGTTTCGTATCATAAATGGATATTCGTCTATGGAGATCACCATTTCCAGATCGAATCATTCTCTTACTACAAAACCCTGATAAGAAACTATAAAATAAAAAAAAATTAAAAAAATAAAAAAACAATTACATAAAACCATGTTATAATACTCCATTTCTGGACAGTGCAGATTCCCACTTCAGAAAACAAACCCAAAAAAGAAAAGAAAAACAGTACTGATTATTGCAGTTTTTAATCTCTAATCATTCTATATAGTTCTTTTAAGATTCTTTCTATGTAGATAGTGCAACACTGATTAATGGTCATGTCAGATATTCACTTTTTTCATATCAAATTGAGAAAACCCAAATGAAAAGTTTAGATCATTACAGTTGAATTCTGATTAACGAATGGAATGATTAAGTTAAGTGTTTAAGGTTTGTTTAGCGTTAATTACCGAAATTTTGATGGGTTTTTGTTTTTACATGCTTTTTAGCAAAACCCTTTTGTTTGTTTTTTAATTTCCCATCCCTTCCACCTCATATTGATTATTTTATTAACACCAATGAACTAGAATTCATCATTTTCAATAGAATCTCTCGAGTATAGTGTAAGGAGAGAGAGAGCCATTTGGTGATTAAAAAAATTAAGTGCTTCTTGAATTTGGGTTAGAAAAAATTAAAAAACTTTCACAAGAGGACTGCTTTTTTCAAGTGTTTTTGGGTCTGAGCTGCAGAAAATCTATGGTAAAGGCCATATTTTTGAAGATTCTGTGGCTGTCTGAAATGGATTTATGTGGGGCACTAAGTTTTTATTCTCCCATTTCATCAAACATTTGGTATATTGATTGGATTCCATGTCTGAAAAGTCATAAGTTTTGTAAGAAACAGTGCAATTTTATGTTTTTTGACACTTTTCTCAGCTGGAAGTAAGTAAAGGCTCGTACTTTGTGCTTCCCATTTACCTCATTTTTGTGTTTGGTTTTAAGACAAGTGTTTTTGCTGTACTACGTTGCCCTAATGTCTCACATGTTCTTGTCGGTTCATAGGGAAGTTCAAAGAAAAAAAACCCATCAAGATATTTCTAATAGCCTTGAATGAAGAGAAATTATTTCATTTGTTCTTCCCAAACACTTAACTTTTTTACATATATTACTAATTTGTACACTTTTTGCACGTGGGATTTTTTTTTTTTTTTTTTTTTTTTTTTTTTTTTTTTTTTTTTTTTGCATATTTTTATGTGTTTATGTAAGTGTGAGCTCAGGGTTTTGGGGTTTGTCAGTTCATATATTCCATGGCTGTCTCTCCCTCTTAGCTTCAATTACCAAGGATTCCATTTGTCCCTAAGGATGTTCATTAATTTAATAACATGTAGATTGGAATTTGGCATTTTGAATTTTTCTTCTGCCTTTTTAATCATATCTTACGTTTGGAAAATGTTCCTCAAACAAATGTCGTTTATGCATGAAGCCTCGACTTTTGAAAAATAAGTCTATATCTTAGTCGTTGAGCTATGTTCATAGAGACGAGTTAGGCTAGACATAAACTAGTTTTTGAAGATTTACGTAGCTCGTTTTGTTGGAAGTTTATGCATGAACCCTTGACCTCAAAAAAAGAAGTATATGCATTAATAATCGAGCTATGTTCATAGAGATGAGCTCAAGCTCAAACTTGAGTTGGTTTTTTAGGTTTTACGTAGCTTATTATGTTGGAAGTTTATGCATGAACCCTTGACCTTAAAAGAAGATGTGAATGCATTAATCTTCGAGTTATGTTCATAGAGATGAACTCAACCAAACTTGAGCGGGTGTTTTAGGTTTTACGTAGCATATTATGTTGGAAGTTTATACATGAACCCTTGACCTCAAAAGAAGAAGTGAATGCATTAATCGTCGAGCTATGTTCGTGGAGACAAGTTAAGCCAGACATAAGCTAGTTTTTGAAGCTTTACGTAGCTCACTTTGTTGGAAGCTTATGCATGAACCCTTGACTTCAAAAGAAGACGTACATGCATTAACCATCGAACTATGTTCATAGAGATGAGCTCAACCCAACTTGAGCTGATTTTTTAGGTTTTACGTAGCTTATTCTATAATATCGTTTTCAAAAAAATCGAAACTTTATGATTCAATATTAATTTATACATTGTCCTTGTCGGGTTTTCGAGTTTTTGAACTGATTAAGGTTTGTGTTTTAATGATTGAATGCAGGAGCAAAGCTTGGAAGTAAGAGAATCAAAGAGAAGAGAAAGAAGTGTGTTGAAAAGCATAAATGTGTTGAAGGCTGAAGCTTAGACGTTGCTTTACCTTGGCCTTATGTCTACAATATATATCAAATTGGGAGAACTATATATTAAGTTTGTGTATACGATTATATGCATGCCCTTATATTACATTTGTTGCATCTTCTCTTTCCCGTGTAAGATTTTATTATGTATTTCATGAATTTTTATGCAAACTATTGGCTATTTTCTCTCTCGACTTGAAAAGCTAATGAAATGTTCTATTCTTTCTCTAATGAATTTGTTTGTCAATATCTAGTTTAGAAGAAATCTTACGTGACATTCACGTGTTTCAACAACAATTTTTTTTAATTGGAAAAAGAGTTGACAGCAAAGTTAATCTAGGGTTTTATGTGCTCTTAGCGAATTGGGTAAGGAAATGACGGAACCCGACCGAAGATACCATTAGCTAAGGGTATGCATTCTACATCCCCCTTTTGTACTTTGTTTTGCTCGTTGTTGAGCACATCTTATACTGAAGTTACCATTAATATCATGCAACGAGAAGTTTAACAACCTTAATAGTAGATTTACGTACTTATTATCATCTTTAAAGTGGATAACTCATCTTTCCTGTTTCACTGCTATTGAACTTAACGAGAGAGAAAAATTCATTTACTCGTTTTTAGTTCATTGCCTTTCAGGGTGGGCACAACTTATATGAACTAATGCACAGTTTTACCTATCAAAAGCAAGCATGAAATGGATTATTAAAACTTGTTTCCCTGTGTTAGACTCAAACTTGAATATCTAACTTTCTCATCTTATTCAACTAATTATTCATTGTGAGATCCCATATTAGTCAGAGAAGGGGACAAAACATTCCTTATAAAATATAGGAAACTTTTCCTTAGTAGATGCATTTTAAAATCGTGAGGTTGACGACGATACGTAACAGGCCAAAATAGACATATGTTGTGTTTCCAATTTGATTCTTAAAATAAATTTACAACACATGAATCAATACTCGTACTATCTTATAATATGAAACATCATAAACTTCTAACCAAATTTGAACTCAGTAAAGAAAGAAATATGAATGAACCGATACTATATCTGAATAAAGAAATACATTATAAAATGACCTTCACCCAACGGAATGTTGAAGTTACCAAGTGCCGAACACGAATTCTAAATCTCGATATGAATCCTGAAACATAGATGAGAAGTTGTTAGAGAGCATAGTATATTTGCATGGTTTGGTAGAGTGATATGGTGTTTTATAATACTAACAATAATAGTAAAGGGAGGATATTGATATTCTATTTGCCTTTTTAATATGGTAAAGTAAATAAAAGGCAAAGACCATATCGTGAGACCAAAAGCAAGAGAGAATTGAGACCAACTCAACATCATTACTTTATGCTAAGTGGAAACACCAATCACAGGGGAAAAGAGAATCATCATCTTTGTCCAAAAAAATTATTGATACTTGACAACCAAACACTCACACTTCAATGGACAACTTTTCCGTTCATACGAAATACAAAATTCACTATACCTTATTAGAAAAGTCACGTGATCGATTGAGTTTGTGTTACCAAAATAAAAAAACAGATACATGAATGAATCGAAATTACATCTTAATGAAAGCAACGAAAAAAAGTTTAAAAGATACTAAAATCACACTTTTCTCTTCGATAGCTTAATCATAATAACTTCATGCTTAAGTGTACTTTGAAGAATTCTATGTTAACTAATCTCTAAGAAATTTTTATAGGAGGTATAGAAGTGAAAACAAAACATACTAAAATGACTTGTATAAAGATGGTCTTCACTCTCAAGAAATTAGTACAACTCGTGTTAGTCTGTAGAGATAGTTTTCTCTTAAGAAACGAGGAATATGTAAAGAATAGTCAAATCCATATTCCAAATCTTATCCAAAGTTTTGGACATGAAATGTAGTATACTAACTGATATCGTAAATTTTGAAAGGGATTTCCTGAAAAGAATCATAACAATCACAGAGCAACCTATGATAGATTTAAGATCTGGAAGACATTTAGTGAGCCCTTCCAAAGACATGCAGCAAGTCAATAAACCAAGATCCTTCACAGTTCTTACACGTAAAGCAATTAAAATGGAGGTAATTATGGAACCTGGAGAAAGAAGGCATTAAACTTTGAACTCAGAACAGAAATGGTCTTGCCTTATATAGCACAGAAACCATTGGAAGATCAAAACCAACAGGTTTTTTTTTTTTTGCTCTTTTTTTTCTTTTTCTTTTTTGATCGTATACAATGGTTTGAAAAATCGACAAGAGTTCACAATGGGAGCCGAGAACATCGAAGTAGCACCTCTACCATTTTTTCTGTACACAAACAAAACAAAAACAAAGCAAACTATATCAAGAAAGCGAGTACTCGCAGTCGAGCAAGCGTGAGAGAATCTCTTCGCAGCTTGGCCGTTCATTTGGTTCTGCCCAACAATCTGCAATCCAGACAGAAAACTTCATTAGTTCAACAACAGCCTCACAAAACTTAAAATGTTTCCCACTGATCAACCTGATATAAGTCTGCCAAGGGGTCCTTCAGGAATCTCTAGCCGTGCTCCCTCGGTGCCAACAGCATAAACTACCTGGATGCCAAAAGGGTATACCAGTTAATCTCTAACTCATTCAAATAAAATGGGATTGCCACCAGATACAATTAAAGTTGATGGATTAAAAGTGTAGCAGATCGACGTACCCGCTCTTGTGGAACACCCTCCCACGGTCTACTTAGCGTGCATAGCTCCCACATAATGACCCCCAGGCTGAAAATATCACACTTTTCAGTGAAGGGTTCATTTCGGAAGAGCTCGGGAGCCATCCATTCTGGAGTTCCTGCAGATGGAGACCCTCTTGCTGGATCCTCAGTCAATACTCTTGAAAGTCCAAAATCACATATCTTGACAGTCCAATGCTTGTTCACTAGGCAATTTGCACTTTTTAGATCCCGATGAGCAATTTTCATTCGATGTATGCACATCAAACCCCTTGACAATCCAGCCAAATGTCCGGTTAGTAAAATGCATTATATTTTTCAGAGGGCACCATTTATTAGGTTTAGGTACTTTTTCAAGCACACCACTAGTTGCATCATCCAAAATCATCTGGGAAACAATAAGCGCTGACAAAAATTAAACGCTTTAACAGAATCTTATATTTCTCCTTTACCCTTTAACTACTATATCATAATCCAGAGCTAGTCAGAAGCAAATCACTAGCAGAAAACTTCGAAGTCAAATTAGATTCTTAGACAATAACATTGCACAATCTCCCCAGGTTCCCTGGTGGGTCTAGTTCCATTATCCCTCGAACTCATAAGCTTTAAACCATAGTGCATAAAGCCAGAGGAAAAGAAAAACCCTTCATTTACTAGGGTCAGCAAGGAAAAGAGTATATATTATGTTCCGTTATGAGCAAAACAAACCTGCATATGTCACGCAACATCTTTAGTCTTCTCCGCCAGCTTAGTTTTTTTTTCTGACCACTCAAATGGATCAAGGAATACAAGGAGCCCATTTCCATGTATTCACTGACCATTGATAATCGTGGCGGCTTTGTGCATGCACCCAGAAACAATAAAACTGCAGCAATATAAGCACCATTTGTAGTGAGACTTCGATTTTTAAAACGAAAGCAAAAGAACAAGAAAGCAAAGAAATCAATCAGATACTTATAAATTGCATCAAATAAGGTATCCCATACAAATCAGTATATGCAATCTTACACGAAGAAAATACAGTGACACATGCAATCTAAAACAAAGAAAACACGGTGATGTTATAGTTTCCAACTAGAGGATAAGAAAGTACCATTAGGATGTCGAAGACGACTAGCAAGAAGAAACCCCATGCACAAATACAAAGAGAATGGAGTAAGATTAATGAAAGTCATTGGGAGATAGATTAAAAAGTTAGTGCGTCAAAAAAAAAAAAAGGTACCTAAGAATTGATATCTCATTACAGAAGTCTTCAATGTTTTCAGGAGTTAGATCTTGCTCTAGGAAAACTTTGATCGCCACATCTGTTCCATTCCAAATGCCACGAAAAACTTCTCCAAAAAACCCTGGATATTGGCGAAGTAAGGGCCTCTCAATGCAATAAAAAAAGAATATTTTGGGCCAAAAGTTTTCGAAGAATCTAATTGGAACATTAGATTTAGGTCAAGAAATAGTAAGAGGCATGCTCAAAATATTGGAATTTTAGCCAACGACAGGATAAAATAAAATCATGCTCACCAATTCCAATACGGATTCCAACTGTGAGTTCTGAGTAATCAATGTTCCATTCTGGGTAAGGTAATAGTGGTTTTTCGTTCATGGAGAAGGATTCAAGAACTTTAGTCCATTTTGAGGCTAAATCATCATTCGCAAATGCCGAATGTTCACTTCTATCAGAGGTTTGACCCCTATACTCATGTGGCGATGTTGGTAATGATATTGCTCTTTGAGAACCCAATGGATCCTGAAAAGAAAATAAAGAAAAAATTCATTCACTGACAAAATCCATTTTTTACTATTTAAGAAGTTCCAGAGAATGTCAAAACGAACATGCCTCGTCATGATCACACAAAATGAAACCTCTATAAAAGTTCTCCCCGATGCATAAATATTACCTTCTCTCTCACATGATTCATTCTCATCGTATTTTCTAAATCACTCAACCTTTCTTTATTTGTTTACAAGTATTATTTTCGTTTATAATACCAATAGTATGACAAGTTCTTACCAATTGGAATCCTACAAATCCTGTTTTAATGATGAATGGTGAAGGCCGAGAAAAAAGCCCACCCAGAAGATTTCAGTGGCTCCCACCACTCTCCTACAAGACCGAATACTGCAGTTACCTTCCTCACCCATGTCACCTCTCTAGTTAACAGCAGTCCTCCTTACAAACTCAACCCCACTGCCCAAGTAACCATAACATGATTTTTGTGCCGAGATCATTCTACCCTCACAGTCCTTTTGATTCTCAGAATGCAAGCCCATAACGATGTCCTCACCCCTCCTTATAACGTAAGTAAGTAGAACTTATAGGAAGATCATCATAATATAACCTAAATAAATCCCAGAGAATAGATGAAATTTCAACGTGATGCCAGAAAGCAATATGACAATGAACATAAAAAAAGTCAGTCCTCAATTACCAGGACATATGAAACCTACATTTCTTCGAACATCTGAACTACTATTTCGTTCATTTGAAGGGTGGGAG